TCGTCCTCTTCTCTTCCTCCCCCGGCTCGGCGGGAGGAAAGGCGGGCCAAGCGATGGGGCCTACCAGGCCCGGAGGGAAGCTGCCGGGCCTCGTCCTCTTCTCCTCCTCCCCCTGGTCGGCGGGAGGAGGTGGGTGGCGTGATGGGCCTATCAGGCAGCTACTCGCCTCTGCAGCGTCCTAACGGGAAGGGAAGAAGCCCCAACCACAATGGTCTCAATGGCGGCCACGCCGGCAACAGTGGACTCGGTGGTGACCTCGGCGGCACGGACCAGACAGCGAGGACTCGCCCAATGGGCTACTCAGGGGAAGAGAGGAGGCAGCCAGGAGGGACTCACCAGGTAAGCATAGAATCTCAGAGTCTTAGAGTCTTTTCTGGGGGGAAAGCCGGCCGCGTTGTAATGGCGGCGCCTTCTTCTGCCTTCCCCAGCTCTTCCCGGCTCTTTCTCTTGGCTCCTTAACTCCCCGCGCCTCTCGGGGATCTCTGCAGGACCCTTGTGGTTCTGGGTCTCTCTCCCCTCAATACGGGGGGGCTCGAGAAGGGGGGACCCCCTGGATTCCTTTAGATTTTAAAATTGGACGGCACAGCTCAGCGTTTTGCTGCCGACCGCCATACCGGAACCGGGGAAATATCCCGGTCCCGGAACAATGATGTTCCATATAGACACAATAAGAGATACTATAGAAATGTCTTCCAAGCCATCAGTTTGAGAATGACTACATTAGAATGTCTCATCTTTCTGTTATGGACCATGAGGTCTGGATGGTTTTATTGGGATAACGGTGATGACTTGTTAGGATCACAACCTATTGGGGATTATGATTTATGACCTTTTAGGACCATAACCTTTTGGGGATTATGACCTGTTAGGATCATAACCTATTGGGTAGCAGAGTTTTAGAAGTGTTCCTTCAGTTTACTGGGTAATGGATGAACACTGGACACCCAAATATCTTGTTTCTATTCTATGCTCTCAGTAGACAAAGATTCAAGTAGACTTCTTTTAAAATAACATGTTTGTTTACTCATAACTTCGTGTATTTAAATATACTGGCACATTTCTTGTCAGGTTAAACTTTAATAAAACATTTTGGTTTGTATCTTTAACTTATTGTCTTCAACAATATCTTCAAAATATATATTACAATTTTCCCTGCTTAAAAGCTATTTAAATGGTTCAGTAAATATTTACCTTACCAGTGAAATATATATTGCTTTGTACGCTTCTCTTTCATGAGAGTCTACTTTCAAAGAAATTCAAGAATTAACAGTTCTCTAACTTCCTACATTGACATCTGACTGAAAAATAGACTTCTGTACTCAAGCTGACTCAAGGCTTAATTAACTGTCTTCTAACTTCCTAAACTGACACCTCACTGAAAATCTGACTCAAGCCTCAACTGTCATCATGTTTAAACTGTATTCTAAACAGTCACATGATCTGCAGCCCCTCCCACTGCCTCTAGTATATAGAGCTAAGGACACTGCAAACACCTCAAGATATAAAATGACATATTATAAACAGACAAAACATTACATAGAGGCTTGAGAAGGTTGTTATCTCCAACAGGTTTGGACATTTGAGGCAGAAGCGAGGCAAATCAGGCTGTGTCAACCAACATGTTGTAATTAAATTGCATTTTGTGCTTTTCCTGAGGATTTAATACCAACCCTGGTAATTAGAGAAAATGGAGGTAAAGCATACATGATGGCTTCTCCCCAAACAAAAGGACATTTAAAACAGATTTTCGAAGAAACAGAAAAGAGAAAAGGAAAGCTCTGAAATGATATATCATAGAGGAATAGAAAATTCAAAATAGTGCTTAGTCAATGGAAAATATAAAGGAACCGAGGCAAAGCACTGATATTAACAAGAAGGAACTTGTGGCTCCCACAAAAAGCTGTTGGCTTTGCTCTAGAAGTTTTCAAACATTCTGTTCAGATGCAGGAAAAACACCCACATGTTAATCCCATGAAGAACTATTTTATTTAGCGTATAACTGTCTGATGCACCAACTTACCAGTAGATTTTCAAACAGTGCAAAACTTGTGGCAATAGCTGTTGTACGGCACCGGAGATCCATCAGTTCTGGGTAAGTTTCACTTTTTCCTTGAGTTAGAAACAAGATGGGGTACTTATTTTGTTTATGCCTCACCCTGCAAGACAATTGCAACTAAGTTACAATTTTGATGGGGGGGAAATCTTCCACGTTCTTTTAATATGGACAGAAGACCACATTTTTTCTAAATTCAACAATTTACTTGCAAACATAAGAGTTGTTTAACAGCATTGTACAAATTGGGCTGCTGTGAGTCTTCTGGGCTATATGGCAATGTTCCAGAAGCATTCGCTCCTAACGTTTCGCCAACATAAATGGCAGGCATCCTCAGAGGTTGTGAGGATTGTACTAAAACAATTAGTATGATGCATGAATTGGCTCATACTGAAAGCCTACCTTACATTTATTTTCTTAGAACAGCAAAAAGGAGTTATACATGTCATCTGAACTCTTCCTCCCTTACAGCTTTTTTTTCTACATGAAAATTTGTCAGACATTTAAAACAGCTCAGAGAAAAACATTATAGCAGACTGGATGCAAATCATGAATATTTTCAAGTAATTACACAGATGACACAGTTCATTCATGCTATAAATGTACAGTCCCTTGGCTCTTTAGCAGATTGGAGACTCACAAGAAACTTTGCTTGTAGATATGGTTCTTCCTAGCTTTAATGGATTCTCGCTCTGCTGGTTGTTTGTTTTCTGAATTAATGAACACACGAAGCAAGTCATCACTATGTTAACCATACTTTGTTGCTTAAGCATGAACATGCTTTGTCTTCTCTATTTCTGGATCATTTTATCTCAGTCGCCTTTTGTTATCTCCTGTTTTACACAGGAGAAGGCTTTAGGGGAAATAAGCCAGAGTTCACAAGGTCACAAGAAAACATGAGGTTAGAGTATGATTTGTTGTTAGTTAACAAACCACTGCTATAAAGGCACAATTCAGCTAGATTTCAATGAACCACACTCTGCAACTGTGCAAACGCAGTTGTTATACAGCATATTATTTGAGAACACTGAAGTGCTGGACCACTCTAGCAACTATCATGTTAGACTACACAGAGAAGCCACTGAAATACACAAGCATGTGGACAATTCCAACAAAAAGGAGGAAAACTTGAAAATGAACAGAATAGTAATAATATAAAATGACAGTATCATAGTATTATTAAAATAATAATAAATAATCCAATAATCCAGGTATTACCATCCTTCCTCTCTACCTTAGAATTAGAAATAATATAATATAAATAATAGTGAATATCCTTTTGGAGAAGCCAGGTATTACTCTAAAATCAGGACAGTAAATAACGAGGAACACTAAAAAACAGGGGAATACCAGACAAGAAACAATCAGGAATAGCTAAAACCTCCCAACAATGGATCCTCTGGCAGCAACCGGCCAGGCTTCGAAGCTGCAAGGCCATTAAATGCTCATTAAGGTGGCCAATTGCAACATCCACACTTGCCTCAAGCAGACAAGAGTTCTTTCTCCCACCTTGGACATTCCAGATATATAAACTTCACTTGCTTAGTTTACAACAGGCCTCTCAACCTCTGAGGATGCTTGCCATAGATGTGGGCAAAACGTCAGGAGAGAATGCTTCTGGAACATGGCCATGCAGCCCAGAAAACTCGTAGCAACCGACAGTTATCTCTCACAACATCAAATAACAGTTTCTATCACTTTCCAGTCCTCGAGGAACCTGTATCTTGAGGATACTAATGAGCTGCATACAAACCTCAAAATGTTACATTTAACAGAATCATTTTCTATTAATTTTCTTGGTTATGTGCAAACTTTCCCATATCAGTAGATTACTTAGAATAAAATATAAATTCTCCAGTTTAAAATATATATCTCCAAAATGATATTGAAAAATATTTCCATTTGCTCACATTGTGCATATATCTGCATCGAATGAAGAAAACACAATCCTCCTATTTCCAGCCTTAAGCAGAACAGTTTTCAAAATTATGTCTGTGTAGAGATTCATGTCAAAATAGGTTGAAAGATTTCCATCCCATATACCATCCTGCCAAAAAAACAAAAGCCGCATAAGTCATGTTGCATCTATTTTGAACAAAAAGCATCTATTTTAAGGAACTGTTATTTAAGAATTCACACCTTATGGATTCAGAAAGCTATGTCACATTCATAAAGGCAATCCTACTTGCATTAACAATGGGAGAACAGAGGAAAACGAGGTAGAAAAAGAATAGAGAAATCAGGTTCTATACTATAAACACTGGGGTTAAAACACAGGACTCATTTCTCATGCAATGCCTAAACTTACAGCATGTGTTCAGAAAGTTGTTTCTTACCTTTTGCTGGCAGATCCATTTAATTTCTATGTTAAACCCAACATCTTCAGGAATAGCTTCCAATACCTATGTAGAAAGGCATGCATGATGTTATAAAAAGATCACTGGCAAAACTAAGCACTGACGTTCAAGAAAAATGTTGTGCTCTCTTTGTGGAGGAGTGACAGCAATACTATGGGACTGGATAATAATAATAATAATAATAATAATAACAACAACAACAACAACAACAACTATTATTATTATTATTATTATTATTATTATTATTATTATTATTATTATTATTATTTCCAACCACCATCTCCCAAAAGGGACTTGGGATGGCTTAAAAGCACATGGTAGTGCATTGGAAAATACAATACAGTAAAACACGTAACAAAATACAGTAATATATATATAACAACTGTAAACAATGATGCTGTCAATAACATAAAATAGATGTACTTAAAAGCATAAAATCCCTATTAATTAAAATGTAGCAACAGCTGTGGATAAAATGGTTATATCAATTTCAGTCACGTTAGTACCCAAGTTCTAAATTTATTTATTTATTTACAGTATTTATATTCCGCCCTTTTTGGATTACAATGTACACATATATGGCAAACATTCAATCCCAAAGACACACAACAGATATAGACAGACAGTCAGAGGCTATTTAACTTTTCTGGCTGCCAGGGGAGCTGTTGCTTTAATCGTCCATCTGCGACACTGATGAAGTACTTCCGCATTCCCTACATGCTTTGCTGGAGTCTTTTTAATGGCCTCGTAAATTAGTTAAATTAGCCTCCCCACACATAGGTGGTACCTAATTTTCCTACTTGACAGATGCAACTGTCTTTCAGGTTGCAAAGGTCGACAACAAGCTACACAATTGGTCGGAAGCTCACTCTGACCAGGGTTGGCTTCGAACTCATGACCTTTTGGTCAGAAGTGATCTTAATGCAGCTGACACTCAGCCAGCTGCGCCACAATCCCGGCAAGTCAAACATTACTATTAATATTAACCCTGATTGAAGGCTTTCATGAAAAGCCACGTTTTCAAGTTTTTACTTTTTACATAGTTAGGTCTGTGGGTATGTGTTTTGAACAAATTTTATATCAAAAATTAAGAACAAAAGTTTTCAGGGGACCGTATAGGCTGCAAAAGTAGAGTCTAAGAGTCTACTTGCAGCTTGCAAGCCATAGTTTCGCCATCCTTGCTCTAGAATTCCTCCTTGAAGGTTCTGTTTTAATACAGCAGCTATTCTATTTCACTGTTTATCTTAGACTAAATGCTACACAGGCAACTTCTGAGGATGGGGATGCCATACAGCATCTCCAGAATCCTTTTGGAGCTCTGCTCCCCTCAATCCCATAGCTGCCACACAGCAATGGCAGTAGAAGCATATGATGATGGTTTTCTCCTCTGCTAACGAGACAGCAGTATTTCCAGAAGAAATAAGAGAGATTGCCCTTTTTATGCCTGGTTATAGTAATAGTGATGGGAGGAGGAAGCATGTGGCTGTGACTGCGGAAATAAAAATGTAGTTCTGTTTTACATCTGTACTGCTGCTCACTATGATGTCAGTGGAAGTTTTGGTGGGCTGCTGATAAGGCAAATTTGGTACCTGGTTTGGTTGCTGGACACCCACACTTGTCCGAGATTGATAACTTACTTTTTGTAGGCTAGGGAATGGTTGCATGTCAGAAGGAACATTTTCTTCTTCTTTAAATGAATCTGTGCAGAAGTGAAAGGCATATACTTCAACGGAAAACATTTTTAACCAAAGAGATTTAATTCATACATGCTTTTTTCGTGTCAGGAGCAACTTAAGAAACTGCAAGTCACTTCTGGTGTGAGAGAATTGGCCATCTGCAAGGACGTTGCCCAGGGGACGCCCAGATGTTTTAACATCCTGTAAATAGTATTCATACATGCTATGGGCCATTCAGTGATACTGTCCTACCTCTGGAGGAAATAGTTAACTGATAACAGAGAGGAAAAACCTCTTAGAGTGGTTCCAATAGCTGTCTGGCGCTATGTTTATTGAGTACAGCATTTTTTGCTCTGATTCCCTCCTGCCAGCTTCAGAGCTCGAGATAAAATTATACCAATTCAGCTCTGGAGTCTATAACCAGGGACCAAACTTTATTCCCTCCACAATAACTATTATTACGACTGCCCTTCTATTGCAATTCTAATTCTAAATGGCCTTCAAAATAATTGCCAACCCAGAAACACACAAACATGCAAGAAGCAACTGCCCTTTACGTATCTTAAATGTCATCTTGATATTTAAGACTTCAGTAGCAGTGCAGTGATATCTCAGTAGAACTAACTCAAATAAAGTCTATCAAGTCCATTATTTTACTTTAAAGTATTTTAGAACTGTTATTTCTAAAATTTCTATATACATCCTTGCAAATTAAGGGACATTGTAGAATATATTCTATGCTAAAATCCCTACAAACGACAGTAGTTTGGTATTAATTAACAAATTCATTAACTGATTCAAATATAAAAGATGAAAATAATCAGAAAGTTAAAGAATTATACATACCTTGACTACCTTTTGATTTTAATGCAGTCACATGTGCCAGCTAAACAAATAAAAAATTGAAATGAATATATGCTTTCTTGTCAGCAAGCAGAAAATTGTTTTAAAATAGCTCATTCATTTTCTCAACAGTGACTGTATACTGGTCTCAAAATAAAGATATGAGCTGCCTATAAGGAAAGAAAGAATTACTTGTTCAACCTTGACCTGCAAGTCCTTTTTCAGCATGGGATCTTTAGGGTTATTTCTCTGATAATCTGTACCCCATATCCTTTTGAAATGGTGAACTCTGAAGTTACAACAGACCAAGGCTTAATCAGTAGAAAAAAAGATAATCCTTTGGAAGCAGTTTAAACACTGCTCAGAAGGATTAATGAAATCTTGCCCAGTACTTTGACTACATAACTAACTAGGGCATTTGTTATGAGGTACAGTGCATCGTATCATTGGGCTTTAAAGTCCCTGGAATTTGGAGTTAAAGCATATTGTGCTCCCAGCTGTAGCAAATATAATTTTAGTTCTGCTTTACCCGTTATAAACTGATGTTATTCTTTATGGGTGAAACCCAGCTTAATGATTTTAAACTGATCTATATACACTCTGAACTTTTTATAATGCTGTTTTTTGTCAAATTTATTACCATTTTTCAACAAATCTAACAATGGCTGGAATCACTGAGTTGCTGTGAATTTCCCAGGCTGTCTAGCCATGTTCCAGAAGCATTGAGTCGCCTACGGGCTGAGAGAGTGCGGTATACAAATAAAGTAAAATAATAAATTCTCTCATGATGTTTCACCCACATCTATGGCAGGCATGCTCAGAGGTTGTGAGGTCTGTTGGAAATTAGGCAAGTGGGGTTTATATATCTGTGGAATGTCCAGGGTGGGAGAAAGAACTCTCCTCTGTTTGAGGCAAGTGTGAATGATGCAATTGGCCACTTTGATTAGCATTTAACGGCCTTGCAGCTTCAAAGCCTGTCTGGTTGCTTCCTGGGGGATCCTTTGTTGGGAGGTGTCAGCTAGTCCTGATTGATTATTGTCTGAAATTCCCCTGGTTTTTGAGTGTCACTCTTTATTTACTGTCTTGATTTTGGAAATTTCAATACTGGTAGACAGATTTTGTTCATTTTCATGGTTTCCTCCTTTCTGTTGAAATTCAGGTTTTGAAGTTGCAAGGCCATTATGCTAACCAACGCTTATGCTGATCAAGGTGGCCAATTATAACATTCAAACTTGCCCCAAGCAGACAAGAGTACTGTCTCCCACCTTGGACATTCTTCACATATATAAACCCCACTTGCATAGTTTCCAATAGTTCTCTCAACCTCTGAGGAAGCCTGCCATAGATGTGGGTGAAACATCGGAGAGAATGCTTTTGCAACATAGCCATACAGCCTGGAAAACTCACAGCAACCCGAAGCTAACAATACCTGGTGGGGGGCGCAAGGTATCTGCTGGGAGAGACATTTGATACACATCAATATTGCTTTGGACAACACAAGGCTACGCTGGAAACTGTTTGGATCATTTCATAAGATTTCCATTTCATAGGGAAAGGCAAGACTACAATTTTTGCTTAGCCTTGTCAGGCAGATGTCAGGCTTCATCGAACATTATAGAGGACCCTTCCTAAAGAAGTGCATTCAGATTTTCACAATGTTAATTTTTTTCATCTCTAGCATTTGAAGCAAGCTGCTACTGTGAGTATTATCTTCATATTGTGGAACTTTTATGCTGCTGCTCTAACTCTGGTTGTTGACTCAGCTCATTTAGGTTTCTAGATTTTATACTGTGAGCTCCTTTTAAGAAAGTGGGACAGTAATGTTTGATGAGACTTCTAAAACAAATAGTGAAAAACATGTATCTTAAGAGCAGTTTGATACTATACCGTTAGCAACTGCAGCTGGGCAAAAGTGAGCTCTTTAACTGCAATCTCAAATAGTTCCAAAGGATCAGTATGATCTCTCTTTTAAGCAAATGGGAGACAAAAGATCAAGTCAGAAAGCCATGAGACAACAAAAGCACTAGTAAGTATCGCATATACTTGAAAATAAGCCAAGTTTTTCAGCCCCTTTTTGGGGGGCTGAAAACGACTCCCTCAGCTTATAATGAGGTCAAGGCTCCAAGTCATTGCTTGCAATATACAATATATTTCTCCTCTTCCCCTCCCTTAACAGTGTGTTTTGTTTTCCATAGCCTCCCTCACTCCTCTTCTCCTTCCAGGCTGCAGTTGCCCATTTTGGAAACTCTTCTTCTTCTTAGAGAGAGAAAGGGAAAGAGAGAGAGAGAGAGAGAGAGAGAGAGAGAGAGAGAGAGGAGAGGAGAGGAGGAGGAATGTTTTGAAAAGGGAAAGGAGGGGGAGAGCCCTTGGAAGAAGAAAAACATTGCATGGGTGGGAGGGGAAGAAAAATACTGCAGGAGGAAAATGCACATATAGAGAGAGGATTTGCAAATGTTTCAGGGGGAAATGCATATGTGAAGTTAGTATATATAATTAGATCTATATCTAGCTCTGCATTGTTTATATAGGCACTGAATGTTTGCCTGTTACTATGTTGGAAGCCAGCCTGAGACCCCATGGGGAGATAGGGCAGGAGACAAATGAAATATTATTATTGTTGTTGTTATTAATATGTTATTGTTGATAACATATTGTTTTTGTTTACTCTAAGTTTCCACTTACAGAGCTAGTTTACTGTTTTTCTTTGAAATATGGTAAATATCCAAAAACATTTAACCTACTAATGCCTCAATTAATGTAATTTTATTGGTATCTATTTTTATTTTGAAATTTACCAGTAGCTGCTGCATTTCCCACCCTAGTCAATTATACTCAAGTCAATTAAGTTTTCCCAGTTTTTTTGTGCCAAAATTAGGTCCCTCGGCTTAAATTTGGGTTGGCTTATACTCAAGTATATATGGTAAGTACGCTGGCATAAGTGAATGCAAAATTTCACTGTAGTAAATATAAGAATTATTCTCTATTCTAGTATTCTATCTACTGTCTTACTACATATCTCGTTAAAAAATTTCCACGCAGGAATCTGTTACAAGAGGGTCACTGCACCCAGTTTATTCTACCAGTACAACAGCGCAAAGCATTGCAGCATCCCTTTTACTTTCCCATTATGCAAAAAAATTGCAGCGTGGTACAAATGAAGTATCTCACAACTGCTTCTGTCTAATCAAACTTGAGCTCAACAGTAAAGAAACATCTCTGGTTACTTCTCCAGTTCTCTGGCTAAGGACTTACACTTCACTTTGGCATTATGTACCAAGTTTTGAACATAATCCTGTCACTGTAGTTATTGTAAGTCTGAACCACCATCTACTACATAAACAGCTTTTTCCAAATGTATGGAATGATCAACATAATCGTTGCCCTTTCTCCTCCCGTAAAGGAGTCCATTGCAATCAGAAACAAAGGATCACTAGAAAACAGTGTACACATTTGAGTCACATATTGTTTACCTTTTTCATAGCAATACAACAAGTAAGATCATGATATATAATGGGGACATGATCCCGAGAAAGATGTACATCAAATTCCACAAAGGCTGCTCCCTAGGTCAGAAGGGAGGGAAAAAAGTGTAGAATTTAAAACATATAAGGTCATGTTTCATTTGTTCTTAACACTGTAGCCTTCCTAAAGCAAAACAAATTCTGAACTCTAGGCACTTGATAACAATTATTTAAAACATTTGTAAGAGAAAAATATTTCCAAGCCTCTCTTCTTCTAATACACGGAATTCCAACATACTTAAGAAGTTTTCTACATCTTCCTCTGCAAACATTTGTGGCACAAATAGATGGACATAAATACTTCTATGTAGCTAGATGCCATTCATTTGTAGAGAGACACTGCTTGGGATTCTGCCCAAAGCCTTTCGATACTGTTCACATATTTTTTTATTCCAGAACAAACAGCTATACAGATATACAAAAGAGAAATAAATAAAAATACACGTACATGTTTAGCAGCATTCTTTAAGGAAGCAACAGTGTTCTCTCGAAGTTTAGCAAGCCTGCAAACAAAACAAAAACGTTTTAATTTTATGATTTTTTTAAAGAAAAAGAATGAGCAACCAGTTAATCTATACAAATAATAAAAGGGAAAATGTGTATGTGTGTATATGGTGGAGGTGTCCACTTACATAGACAGCTTCCCACCTCCACAAGCAGGCTATAGTTCCCAGTGCTGAGGAGCCACCAAAAGCACTCCCTCCAAGGACATTTCAGATTACAGCAGGTGCCATGAATAGCCCATCCCCTGCCAATGTCCTCCCCAAACACCATTCCACCCACAACTCAAGGAATGCTTTCATTCGGGGACAATTTCATCCTAGATGTTCTGTTTTTCCTTCAGAATGGACATCCCAGGGTTCCTTTCTCCATTGGCATGAAATTTACATAATCCTGCCTACTGCCATTCCCTTAACCTTTTCCTATGGCACACAGCAAACACATCTAGAGCAAACTTGCCCGATATGACAAAGTTTAACTGTTGAGAAAATGAATGAGCCATTTAACTACTGATGGGAGTTTCAGGGGGTTAACCTGGCATAATGTCAGTTGTAGTTCACCCACAACCTTATGATTTTGTAAAATAATAAAAAATGACTTTTTCAAATAACTCGGGGAACACTGGGTTCCCAAGGTAGTATTATATAAAAAAGAAAAGAAAACAGCAAAGACAACAAAAACTACTAATTGTAATAAGTGGGAAAGTTCTTATCAATTTCAAAATATCACTTGTGTATACACCCGGTGTTGCCCGAGTGTCAGAGGAACTGCTGTCTGCCCGTTTTCTCCCTTTTCCAGCTTTGAGGTGGCTTATTTCACAATGTGTCCATGGAAACACTTTTTGGGCTCTCTTTCTTCCCTTTCTCCATTTTTCTCATACATCTTCTCTCTCTTTCTTTCCTTCTTACCTTCCTTCCTTCTTCCCTTGCTATTCTGTTGCTCAGTTACACATTTCAGAATCTGCCATTTATTAAGTTGCTCAACAATTAACCACAGGTCATGTTTGACTGAGATCTTGTTTCTAATACTTTGCACTTTCTGGTTTTCTGGCCATCACAAACAAAAAGTGGCTATATTTCTCTGCATCTCCTTTTCCAGTTAGCATTCTAAATTCACTTGCCAACATTCAATTAATTTCTACAAATCTTATCTGAAATTCATCCCTTGGACTAGTAGAGACATGATAATGATGAAATTGTCATAAACTAAGGTATATGCAAAATGAAGGTAAGAACAAGTGCCTCCTTCAGAGTTTTATTAAGTAGTAACTCCAAAAGGTACTCCAGCTGAATGAGATCAGCTCCACAGATTTAATATCCATAGATCTAATTCCTAGCATCTATTACTAGGCCAAAACACACTGGTTTATAGGAAAAATAATACCATCTTTTTCAACACCCGGGGGCTTTGTTTCTTCTCACCATGATCCACAGAAATTACTACAACATTCCAAAGGATTCTAAACACAGTTCTCACATAAAGATAAATGTACTTTTGATGGATCTTAGCAAGTACAGAGGTGGCAGGTGAAAATCTAGAAACATTTCCTGAAAATTATTTTTTGTAACAAGATTTCTAGCTTAACATGACAAATAGCAGCCAAGACACAATGAAGTCCTGATACATTGATCCAACTGCGCTGCGGTAAAAAGAAGAAAAGTTTACTTCTTCTCTGGTATCTCGTTGTACTTTAATTATTTAAACTTACTTGGTGGTGGTTGTAGAATTTCCTGCACCTCTATGTCCAACATCTAGTCCTTTTCTTGCACTCCAGTATTTAGCAAATGTAGCTTGCATATCACAGGAATATCCCTGAATTGGCTTGACAATTAAGTAGTCAACTACAAGGAGAAAAGAAAGATGACGTGATTGTCCATTTTAAATTTTTAAAATCAGATTAGAACAGTCCTTCTAGCATTAACCATCTGAATCCAATGCAAGCCTTTTGAAAATGAGAACCATGCTAAGATTAGCCCATGCTTGCATCAACATCTCTGAAGTAATCATACCTCTAACTTTTCCTATTGTTTTTCGTGACATTCTGTTCATAATAGGAAGCGTGAGAATACCGCAACTCTTTCCTGCTTCTGCAAGAGTGGAGGATAACAGACAAGCTGTGCCCACATGCCCTGGAATTTCATCTCCTTGTATCACTGCTTCACTAAGATCTTCCTAAAAATGCAAAATAAAATAAAATAAGAGAGAGATAAATGTTTTTAAATTAAGGTTTTTTTTATTACTCCATAACCTATAAAATCTGAATCAAGCATTTCTGTGAATATAGCTCTTGCTCCTGGAAAGCAGATAAAGAACACAGCAATGTCAAGATATTTGTGCTAATTGTTTATTACCACTGTTCTTTTCTGCAGCTGCTATTGCTCTAAATATTCATATTCAAACTTGAATACTACAGTCCAACTACTGAGGAAGTGGATTATAATTCATGCAAGAACATGCTAAAATAGACCAGTTAGTTTTAAAGATAGAATCATAGAATCATAGAATCATAGAGTTGGAAGAGACCTCATGGGCCATGTAAATACAAATGGAGTATTTCTTGTTCCATGTAGTTCATTTATCTGGTTTTATTCAATGAAAGAGCCATTTTGGAGTCATCAATATTGTTAAAATAAAGGTTTAAGAAATAATAAGATGCTGGAATCATAACTCAGAAACTAGAATTTATCTGAGGGACCTTGAGGAGCCAGAAGGTAGGATACTAAATTCACTGGACAACTGGTTTTGATACACATGGAAAAAAAAAGATCTCATTCAAAAAACTGCAGGATTTCCCAGCTTGGATGCTGTCTTGCAAATGTGACGAGGGAGGGAAAAGGTAGCCTGAGCACTGCTCCAGTCTCATCATGTGTAAAGGCTTGGGTAGACGTAGCAGTATTGAAACATGCACTTTTGCTAGGGGAATTTAAAAAAGAGTTTAGTTCTTGTTAGGGGCACAAACTTCTCATCCTCTGGGAGGCTTCTCTCTTATTCCAGTTTCCTATCTGTAATTGTGTTAAGGTGGCTACAAACCCTGCAATACGATAAATGGTCAAACAATGTAAGTCACACAGTAAAATTGAGCTTTTTTTTTTTTAACTACTATAGATATTTAACTTTGTGGAAAAAGCTCTCTCACATACTCACACCCTCACCTCAAAAAAGTCAAAGATCAACTCCAAATTGTCTGGTTCCATAGTCTGTATAGAATATTCTGTCCACCGGTCGGGCTGCAAACCATAACCACATTCTGGCTGAGAATGCCGCGACTTGAATTCATTATCACTTATTAGCGAAATCTCTAATGTGTTTGCCATTTTATGATGAAGGGTAGGTGACAGTCTACCTTCCTCGTCATCTTCACCCTCCTCCTCCAAGCCTTCAAGGGTGAGTTTCACCCTACACAGGAAAGAAACAGCAATATCTGACTCTGTGTGTCATAGAATCTCTGTGACAATAACAGAATTTAGACAACCTGTGATGTCAGAGGATCAATCAGATGTATTCTACTTTGTTAACACAAAGGGGCACAAATGGAGCATATAAAATTACATGTGGTATAGAGAAAGAAAGTTTTCTGTTCTCTTAATACTAGAAGTCAAGGCCATCCAATGAAGCTAAATACTGGAAAATTCTGGGCAAAGAATAGCAAGTACTTCTTCACACAGTGCATAAATTATTGATTTTACTTCTGTAAGATATGGAGATGTCCACTAAGGACCCTTCCACACAACCCTATATCCCAGAATATCAAGGCAGAAAATCCCATGATATCTGCTTTGAACTTGGTTATTTGAGTCCACACTGCCATATATTCCAGTTCAAAGCACATAATGTGGGATTTTATTCAGCTGTGTGGAAGGGCCTAATATTAGACTATTTGGATTAAGCTATGGGTAATGTGGAATATGCAGACAAAGCCAGACCCAGACTCCATGTTGCCACCCAAGGCCATTATTAGGTCTCCAGGACCACCATCATCTCAATTTTCATACTGATAATGTCTATGCCATAACCTATATATGGTGTGCATGCAATTTCACTACACATTCTCCTTCCTGTTTAAGGTCCAAAAGGATCTTTTTTAAGATCAAGTAAAGCAGAAGTCAATTTCCAGTTAATTGCTTAGTTTAAAAAAGGCATTTTCTGGATCTGAAACAATTTGCAGAATCCAGAAATGTAGCAAAATCATCTCCACTATTGTCATTTTAAACAAAATTATATTCACTAGTGTTCTTTTAAACACTGAACGTGGGGACACTTTTACTGTTTAAGAGGGAAAGAGGTTCAGAGTCTTCAAGTGGAAAATGAGGTCACCATGCAATAGCAGCTGGCCAACCTTGATCTATGTCCTAGGATAAGGACATAAAGAACTAATTATCATGATGTTTATCTTTATTTGCTATCTTTATATAGTACTTTTGGACAAGCTTCAAAACAAGTTACATAAAATTAAATGGATCAAATAAATTAATAGCATAATCCATGCCAAACCTTTTCTCCCCTTAGACCAAAATAGTACATGTAGTGGCAGACACCTAGTTAGACAGTATATCGAACTGTGGACATTACACACACTTGCCTTACAGGGGGGATAAAAATTGCTCAACAAGAACTGAACATGAAGTACACTCTCACACAAATGCTTTCTTCCTTGGGTTCACAGTATGAGCAACTTCAGAGCTGTTACCTAATTGAGCACTCTTAACTTAATGGTGGCTATTTCACAAAACAATGTCACTGTTTTATAAAGCAGCGAAGAACAAAAATAATAACCAATGTATTTAAAATTCACTTAAGAGCTCCAAGACACCAAGTATTTATGTAAAGATTCGAGGAGCTGGTTTTACACTCCATTTTAAAGATTAGGAAGAAAGAGATATATGAACGAATCCTGTAATTAATCTTGTATAAAAGGAAAAAAACCAAACTTTACAGTTCCAAAAATAATCTGAACAGGAATTGCACTTCTACAAATTAAAAGTGTATTATTTAGACCAGTGGTTGTCAACCTGTGGTCCGTGGACCACCAGTGACCCGCAAGAACGAAAATATGATCCATGGCCTTACCATTACTACACAGTTGCTTCAAAACAGCGCAGCAACAAGAGTGATTGGTCTCGCAAAACTCTCTTATAGTGCTGAGGCAATGGGGATGTCAGAAGGGGAAAAGCTGACTACCCACGAAAGATTACTACTACCACATCAGCTCTAGATTATTAAATATGGTTGTCTGTGGATGAGCAGATGGTGACTACTGGATGGCATATGTTCTGTATCAGAGACTAGAGCCAATGCAAATTACCAAACCAAATCTAAAGTTGACCAAAAACTGATTCGTAACCCATTGGTACTAATGTTGGAGAGTGGTCCCTAGTCAAAATGGTTCCTGGTCAAAAAAAAGGTTAGGAACCACTGATTTAGACCAATATTCAACTTAACCAAAAGAGAATCATCAAAAAGTGTGATCATACCTAAATCTAGATTTTTTAAATTTTTTCTTCGTTATCGATACAGGAGATTTTTCAGAAAAATGCAGCCGTAGTCTTATTTCCGTCTGGCACGTCAGCCATCCAGAATCAATACTCTCCACATCATCTGACAAAGTTAAAAAAGCAACAAGAGTTATAGTCCTGTGTAATCTTCAGTCTTATAGTTCTATAAAATTTTACCATATCCCAAAATGTCAATAAGCCCAGTAAAAAGGGGAAAGACATCACAAGACCATATGGCTGTTAAAATTGGCAAGATAGAATTGAACTGACAAATATGTCTTAAAGAGCCCTAGTGAATAATCAGCTTTCTGTTAAAATATCAGTATAGATTTCTGAAACTAACCATGCAGACTCCCAGGGAAGAAAAACATTATAGAAAAGGCTACACTTTTATTCCCAGAAGGAGCCAAGAGAACACACTGTTGGCCTATTGTCACAAGCAGCAACAGATTAAATGTTGGGGTCTGTTCTGACTTAAAACCTGGATATTCGTGAACTTAATTCAATGAAGTAATGCTGATCTTTAGAGGAAAAGGTGACAGGGAAGGTAATGAACTTCACAAACACCATTCAAACCATGTCCCTTCAGCTTTCAATCAACTATAATGGAAAAATGTCAAAAGATTAGGGGGCATGGTTTCCTGTAATTCAAGCAGAGAACATTATATGTACAGTATGCTTTTTTTCTGGCTGTAGAATGGAGCTGTCTATTACAAAAGGATGGGAAAAATTAATAGTTACCACCCAGGCTAACAAGATTAATTTTTTTATTCAGTATAGCTAATGAGGAAGATTAATGAACATCAAAGAACAAACATTTATTAAGACTAAAAGGAGTATTTGCACGGTCACAAGGGAACAAGTTCAATGCTCAACTAAGACTGGAAGGATTCCAAGTCCAAGGATTGAGGATGTGGGGATAGAAAAGCACAGGCCACTTCCAACATCTGTTAAAGGTCTCTCTCCTGCTGTGGCCTTTTATCAAAGCCTGCTTTTGCTACCCCAAAGCCTGCTCCAAGAGACTCTTTCTCACTTTCCCCACAGGAAATGGCCTACAGGAAGGATCCTGGTTTTATATCTTAATGATGTTTACTGCGATTTTACAATGCATGCCTGTTCCATGTAAACTGCCTAGGAAAGATTTGTATCCTGAAAAATTGGACACAAGCATCTTTGGATTAATAGATAACAATTAAGCAAGGTTTTGAAACATGTCTCCTTACAAGCTACACCCTTGCCCTAAGCAGTTATATAGGAATGCCATTTGTACAGTGCTATGCATAATAACTGTTATTCTATCTCCTTAGTAGGCCTAATTATTGAGTTGCTTAAATATAACCACACATCCCCATTTTAAGTATTTCAAAGTCATTTTTCATACCAAAACAGAAATGTATCAGCGTCATCCACATGGAAGTTTCATGCGGCATGGCCATCTACTTACCAAAGATTCCAAAGTGTCCATCATCGATGGAGATATCCACTGGAATTAAAAGGACAATCTGTGAGAACAGTTCACATTCACCGGTTGTTCAATTACTTGCTAGTTTTGGCTGAAATCCTATACATACTTGCCTGGGAGAAAGTCCCTTTGAAGCTAATGAGGCATCTGGTTAAGTATGTAGAGGATTGCAGTATAAGTTTCAAAACTCCTTTACCATTTTATGTCAAATTACAGTTAAGACACTTTAAATAAGAAGGCATGGCATAAGCATATTTGTTACAACTTGTTCAATACCTCTCAGCTCTTTCCTTGACATAAAACCATAATCTCCAGAAAACATCAAAAGCATGTAGGTCCTTCGAACAACACTGTTTAAACTGTGGAAAGGGCCTGACATATCCTGAGAATGAATCAGTGCCATGATGTCGCACTTGGGTCATAATGGTCATTATATTCATGTGATGGGTTATAAAGTACATGCTAAGTAGCAAAGAAATACCCTTTACTTCAAGCTCAGAGAGAAAGCATCTGGACTACTACCATTAAAATGCTTGTGCTCCCTCCCACCCAATTCTTGATAAAAGATTTAAACTTTCATATTTATCTCATGCCTCAGAAAAAGTTACAATCTTTGGGGAAAAAACCCCAAAAACCCTCAGTAACAAATCAGAACCATACAGGGTTTAAAGATAATGAAGTTCTACTATTAAGGTTCTGCCCTCATATGCACTGAAGAAAACAGCAGGATCTAAACTATCAGAGATTTTAAAGGGTCCAAGAATCACTGAAAGGCATGAGTCCCTCAGCAGTCTTTCAAAAATGATTAAACACTAAAGCCACTTATGACATACACATCTTTTTTGTAAGAATTAAAAAGCAAAGAAAAAAAATTACTGGAATCCCATGCATGCCTACACAAAAGAAAGTCCTACTTCATTCAATGGGACTTAACATCAGTGGATCTCAACCTGTGGGCTCCTAGATATTTTGGCTTTCAACTCCTAACAGCTGGCAAGCTGGCTGGGATTTCTGGGAGTTGTAGGCCAAAACACCTGGGAACCCACAGGTTAAAAACCACTGTCCTAGATAGAGTTGCACAAAAGTGCAGACTTAAGACTACCTTCCTAGGTTTGCTCCTTTGAAGACCATGAACTAGGAAACAATATATTTAGCTTGGAATATAAGGGGCGCATTTATTTATATACAATCTTGGAATTTTTAATTTTAAAAACTTAAAATGTAGATTGCAGTAAATCATCATTTTGGGCACTGAAAACCCACAGCAAGTAGTTTCAATCACTTTCTCAAGGATAAAATAATATTAGGTTGTATCAGCAACTCTCCCCATTTGCACTGTTTATCCTAAGTTAGTATTACTAAAAATATTCTATTTACTTTAAACACATTTATTACTCTGTTTCACAAAATAATACCTTTGAATAGGTAAAACCTTTTATTGGGGAAAAAAAACAAAACAACTAGGTCTGAAACTTTAAGACAAACAGCACTTAGTTTCTACTACTGAGGAATGGTTTGTTAAAAAAAAAAACCAAGAGCAAAAACCAGGGACTCCCAGCCTCAAAGAACAATGAAAACTATCAGTTGTGTGGTCTCTGTGTTCTCACTGTTTTAAAACGTTAATTTTAAGTTAAGTTTTCGAGGCCCATTAATTTTTCTTCCATTTGGTGAGATAATAAGATGTAACACAATGTCTCAAAAACTCATGACTCATCTAATGGGATGATCCCTCCTAACACTCCCCAGATTCATGTTTAGAAATGGGAATCGGGACTTATCCATGCCACACTTTGAAAGCCCAAGATGAAATCACAGGCAACTTCACCCACCCTATTTGAACAGCCAAAATGTGTAAATATCAATAGAGACAAAAGCATGGGGAAAATTAGATGTTCAAATCAATGTGTTTACAACTATAAATTAAACAATTTCACAAAACTTTGGAGAGCAATAATCATGCTGTGCTAGGAAGGAAGGTGCCTGTGTAGCAATGGCATTAATGTTAATTCAATAAAACATTATCAATGCCTACTAAACCACTGTGTAACATATTAGTAATCTTATGCTTCAAACAGATGCAGTTGGTGCCCATACCTAATGGGGTAATTGATCGTGGTGGTTGATGAGTCTCCCACTTGTGAATTATGACTTGGCATGGACCATCGATAGTCTGCAATTTAAAAGTTAAACGTCTGCAATAATGACTGTTACATCTGATTTTTAACTGTGATGCCATATGAAATCTACTTAAACACTCTATGAAGTGCAAATATAGGTCTTCGGTTCATATCATTTATCTTATAAGCACTCATGCCACTAAAGTGCACCTGGTCATCCTAAGACTAAAATCTTATTAAAATGATATATCTCCATATAACAAAGGAGGGCATGGGATGGTAATTTTTTTACCCTATCCCTGACATCAGGACATTAAATCTAACTTCCAAACAAAAACTGTGCACCACTTAAAACTAAGTGGAATATGTAGAAGCCTGAGAGCAGGTCAACATGCACAATCCCTCTCTTATACATTGGATGCCACATGTCCAATATGAATAGTGTTTTTTAAAAAAATAAGTTTATAAATACTGCTTCCAAGTAGAAAAGATTCTAAATTATGTTTACAGATTTATCATACATTAAAGTGTTGGACTTCACACTTTGTGAAACAAGCACAAATGTCATGTATATTAGCAGCATTCATAGAGCAGCATTTTTATACAACAGCAATTAAAAATGGCAAAAAGCTGCATCTGTTAGAACTCACTTCAGTCCTTAAGTCATTGTCATATATTTATACAGTCATCAGTCACATATTTTCAAACAAAAAGACTGTATACGCCTGAAAGACGGACACTCCCATGCAGTCAAAAAATGACTAAGCCACTCTGGAATCAAATCTGGGAAAACCGGGACATAAAGGCAGCCACATCTGGAAAAAGTCTTCCATTCCCAAAGGCCTACAAAGCTTTGTCTTGTACAAGAGGCTACTTAACAAATTAGAATTTATCTGGAATCTACACATATATATCCTATTTCATATGTCCTAATTTTTTACTTAGTTTTGTACTTATGAGTGATTTTAGAGTTATACTCAACATGTCTATTGTTATTCTTCTTTCCCATGTATTATGATTTGTCCTAACTTTGTTGATCTAATTCTCTTGAATTGTTATGTATCTACTTTTATTTATATTGTGTTCCTGTTGTAAGCTGCTCTGAGTCTCTCAAGGAGAGAAGGTGGGATATAAATATGATGATGATTATTGTTATTATCATTATTATTTAGAACTTTAAAGTTTCCTGCAAACAATTAGTGAAACAGCACATGCAGCAGGGTAAGGGATAGCCACAGCTGCTGGAGTCTATTTTAATTACTGCAGTGGATCGCTTTGGTGATATTTGCTAAAAAATTGTAACTGGCTATTCCTTTTACTTGCAAGCTTCAGGATTTTCAGCTGATTTTAGGGCTTGGGCTTGGTGTTTAAGGCAATCTGCCATTCTACAGCCCTCCAGGAGTGCATATCATAACTTTGGGGTGAAAACACCTCAATAATTCAATGGAGACCCTGTGAAATCTCCAGAGCAAAAAAAAAAAAAGATGTTGGGGAAAGAATGTGTGACCTATGAAGGATGCAATTTTCACTTCTGCTATAAAGGCCAAAGCAGAAGGAGGAATGCAAATAATAAAGTTTAGAAGTAAGTTGTATATTAAATTCTTGGGTAAAGAGAGAATTTGTTGGACTCAGAAGGAAAAGGAAAAGAGAAGATAGCTATGCAAACAACACGGTAATTATTCTCTTTCAACCTGATCTTCCTTGCCTTCTGCTTAGATTGCTGCCCAAAGTTAAATATTTTAATTGATGTTGATATGCTGATTTGTCATTTTAAACTTTATTTGAATAACAGGAAAACATCAATTTGTTATAAGTCCCTATAACTATTCATACATAAAATTGAACAAAAAGCTTAAGCGATTCTGTAAAGTGTCTAAGGTAGCTTCATTCTTCTTCCCAACATAAGGATCACTGAATGAGCACACATGGAACATCAATCTACTGTGCTTGTTTCATTTCTCCAAAATTGAGCCACAAATGCCTACAACAATAGTAATAAAACCCTTTTGCTTTTCCTACCTGCATGCACATTCTAAAGAATACCAGGCCTAATTATCTGCACAAAACCTGTTCAAACATCATCCTAAAAAAGAGCTGTCCCAAGTTCAAATGGTCTATAAATTTAAATTACTTCCTTCCTCTCACCCAAATACATGTCTTCACTTGAAACACTGCAAGAATTTGATGATAATTCCAAATATTTAGGAACCAAGGGTGCATCTCCCAAAACTCCAAGGGTTACAGAGAAGCTGTACGTATAAAATGCGGCATTCTCACAATTGAGAGAAAGGCTGGCTGACAATGTGGCATTTCGTACGGCCCCTGATGTGCTTTGTGAAACTGGAAAATGGATTGCTACTAGAGGAAGGAAGAGAAGAACAGCCAAAGAAAATGAGCCTCTAGGATTTCAGCTTTTTAAGAAATGGCTGCATAAAATCTCTTACCATAGGATTGTTTGGTTTGACTACAATCCTGATACACTTACTAAAAAGTAAGAGCCGCCATTAACTGTCACTTTTCCAGCAAACACGCTAAACATCTTTAATTGTTGACATAATTATAGCTATGCCCCTGAATCCATAAACATACAATCCAGGTCAAATTAAACAAATCTAAAAGTGTAACATGTACTTTAAACAAGAGTGCAATATTGCACCTAGATGCACACTAAACTATTTAGCGACAAAAACAGCAGTGCTAGAATATAAATCTGAAGTGAAAATTAATTTACAATTAATTAATTCAAAATTTTAATTTTCTAACAAACCACTATGGCTGCTAGTTCAGAGATGTTTGTTTCTCATTGCTCAAATGAGGAACTCTAAGCAAGCCAATTTAAGAAACAGATGCTGATCAGTAGACTGCCAAGTGAAATCAATTGACTAGCATAATCAGATTTTTTTTTCTTTTAAAAGACCGCTTTGAAAACACCATGTATAAAATCCCAAGAGGTATGGTTTTGGGAACTAGCATAAGTACTGGCTTCCTTCTTCCGAAAGGAAATGTTATGCCGATTACTCATCATAACAAAAGAAAAGGGTTTTCTTCAAGAGCAAATCTACTGCTATTTGCATTCAGTTCATATTCTTGTAGTACTATTTAGCAAGACAGGTGAAGTGGTTGTGAACCATCACCTCTCTACTCTGAAGTTACTTTAGATTTAAAAAAGTAACTTAAGTAGGAGCTTTTTGCTCAACAATCTCCATCACAAACCATAGAAATATTAGGGTGGCTGTATTGGCCATTTACAAAATTCACGAGAATGCATAATATTTACTAGGCTAACCTGAACGGCACATTTGGTTGGCCTAATGAAAAACTTACGGTAGTATTACACAAATATTCTTTATGATATGAACTGTTTTTTCAACAAGGAACCCAGAAATTGGGACAGTGGCTTTACTACTGTGCCTATTACCTAATAGTATCTGTTATCAGCATTATTAAGAGCAGCCACAAGGTAACAATTGGTAAACCAATATTATGCCTCCATAATTAAAACACTAGAAGAAGAATGTTATATAAGGTTGGCTTTGCCAGTTATACCAGAAGCAGAAAAATGGCACTTACACAATTGCATTAATGCTAAAACTGATCTTATGTTTATATCTCTTTTCCTTAAAAGCATTTTTAAACATGAACTATTCTCCTGCTTATGGTAGCATTCTAAATCCAGCCTGAATCTGCGAATTAAACACAGTTCAATTTACAACAACTGTTGCGGAAAAATATAAAAAGATTACATGTCTGTTCTGGTGAAAGGTCTCTCAGAAAGTGAAGGTAATAATTCATATTAAACATTAGGACATTAGGTCTTAAGCATAGTGGAGGTTTATATGAAAATCAGCCTAAATCACTCTCACTGAACTTAAAGTTAGTTAAAACTTGCTTGGCCTATCACTTAAAATATTGCATCTGTGCCTGTGAATGCTTGATAAACGTCTGTATAAGAACAACACTTGTTATCTTTAGTTTCAGTTTAAGCCTAAATGCAGGAAGTGGTCATCACTATAATAAGAGAACGAAACTACAAAATATTTCATTTATGTAAAGCAAGCAAGGGTACTTGATATAGCTAGAAATGGAAATATGCAGGAGAAAGAACCATTAAGTAAACACTGCTTTATACTCATTCAATATCAAAAAACATTTGGTTTACACTGTCCTTGGATGAACCTAACAGTCCTACAGTGTGGAATGAATGAAGTTTGACAACATTTTAAGTGCCATAGCTCAATGATATGGAATCCTAGGAATTGCCATTTAATAAGGCACCAACCCTCTTCAGCAGAGAAGACTAAAGACCTTGTAAAACTACAACTTCAATGATTCCACAGCATGAACCATGACAGGTAAAGTGGTGTCCAACTACATTAATTCTACAGTAGATGCACATTTTCAATCTTACATGCCTTTTTTGCTTCACCATCATTGTACTGTATCCACACATTACAACAGTGTATTGTTTATTTCCGTACTCCTCTCTCGCACCTCTGACAAATGTTAACCTCTACCAATACCTAGATGCTGACCAACTTGGGCTCCTTACATAGGTCTATATTTTGCTATTCCATAAAATTCATACTTACCATAGAAGCCTCTGCATCACACGGTACTTATAGCGTGCACGATACAGAGCACCTACTCAAAGGAAACACACTCACCAATACATACTGTAAAGTTTGCATGTATTATAAGGGAACTTGACTTACTTCAGCAGATCTACGTCACTGCTTTTAAAACTAAATTGAAACTGCACCTTCAAATATTTAACTAAGTTAGAAGAATGCAGACCAAAAAAGTATCAAAATTAGCTTGCTGTTACTTCTGATAACTTGTGAAAAACTATTGAAATATTTGCTTATCTCCTTAGCAATTACATGCCTGTGCCATGTTTAACTTATTTAACGTTACTTAATGGTAATAGAAGCTCACCAAGCATACTATTTAAGCTTGTTATGCCTCTTAGGTTATACTTTTCCCACACAAAACACAACTGGGGAGGAAAAGCATGAGATGTGTAAATACACTGAATGAGTCAGGTATGCCTTTTGGTCTGCATGCACATGGCTGGGAAGCCAGCTGCAGCCATCCATTGCATGCAGTCAGCTTAAAGCAGGTGCTCATGCTTATACAGGGCCTTTCTTTGAAAGGAATGTTTAACTGAAGCTAAAAACAATTTGTTGTCTAAGGCTTTCATGGCCGGAATAACTGGATTGCTGTGAGCTTTTTGGGCTGTATGGTCATGTTCCAGTAGCATTCTCTCTCTCTCTCTCAAAAAAAAAAAAAACAAACAGTTTGTTTTCAGGAGAATTAACAATGATGAATCAAACAACTGACAATGGTGTACACTACTGTTAAATTCCATAACACCAGGAGCTTATCCTAGAATTAATCAACATATCACAATGATGTTTACTTAGTTATACATACCTGTGGCTCTAAAAAGATGCCTTGAAAATATCGATATTCAATTTCAGCTCCCTTAGGGAGTTTAACAGTTGCTTTCCATAGAAGACTATAGGGAAAAAGAGAAGGGGAAAATGAGATGACTGTCATACGATTTAATGCATTTAAGCGTTGTTCATTGTGCACGCACAGATTTAATGAGATACTTTACTTTTTCCTCCCTCTCCTGTTTCCAGGAATTATTTCTGGTGTAACAAGTAGCCTTTATAGAGGTAAATAAAGAGAATCAAAAAACTTGCTGCATACAGAGAGCTGACTGCAAAGCCTTTGTAAGAACACCTCTCACCCTCATGATAATCAGAGGTTCAAATATATTCATCCAAAGGCACTGTAGTATACTGGGAATGGTTATTGGTTCAAACTGTAGATGTAAAGTGCAGTCCTAAGGCCCAAGGGGTGTACAGCCCTCTAAAGTCATTTACCCGGTCCCAGCCCTACACTTTAGACTTAGAATCGCTCTATGTCTGAAACTACTTGAAAGAACATAACAATGACAATCCCAATTAACTTGACTATCTCATCAGCCAAAAGCAGGCTCACACTTCTCATTGAAATACTGGTAAGCTGGTGTTGGTTAAAATTGTTCTTCATTTTAAACATCATATTGTTCTTTCAATTTTTTTTGGTGCTACAAAATAAGATGTATGCAGTTTGCATAAGAATTTGTTCATACTTTTTCCAACTGTAGTCTGGCTCCCCAACAATCTGAGGGACCATGAAGTGGCCTTCTGTTTAAAAAGTTGAAGGATCGTGGATCTATGGTCACTACAGCACCAGTGTATCTTTGTAGATTTCCATTTATGTTCTGCAGATTATCAGTGAAAAATGAGTCATCAGAAGACAGAGGTGTTCAGTAGTGATATGGAGGTTTCCTCTGTACTATAGAAAAAGCATGCGAATATCAAGGCTTCAAACTCAAAGTGAGCTGTCAACTCCACCTCTAGCCATTTCTTGTACATACTAAGACTATTACTATTAAAGGGCCCTGCTCATTGGATCTGGGTGTGCATGTTTCTTCAATAGTAGAGCAAACAAACTAATAGGACACAACAGAAAGGACAAGGGAATTGGACAAAAATATTTTTGGTATAGTTTATGTGCCACAACGTGGCATTCCACAGACATACTAATTTTTAACATAGTTTACAACAGGCATGCTACTCAAGCTGCACAACATAAATAATTAAGCAAGAAGCAAATATGTATCATCATCATCATCATCATCATCATCATCATCATCATCATCACTTTAATTCTTAATTAGTCGCTCTCCACCAAGGTGCTCTGAGCGACTTACAATTTGAAATAGCATTTCACAATATAAAACATTAAACAGTGACTATTTGGCAAATTAGATCTGATTACTTAAATGCACAACCAAACAGCCAAGTCTTCAGCGCTTTTACAAAAGGTCGCAACTACGATATTGCTCTAACACAGTGGTTCTCAACCTGGGGTCCCCAGATGTTTTTGGCCTACAACTCCCAGAAATCCCAGCCAGTTTACAAGCTGTTAGGATTTCTGGGAGTTGAAGGCCAAAAACATCTGGGATCCTCAGGTTGAGAACCACTGCTCTAACATATAGAGGCAACGGGTTCCACAGAATTGGAGCATAGGCCGAAAAAGCTCTACATCTTGTAGCTTCCAGATGTATTTCCTATATGTATCAATATAGCACTCAACAGCCAACTTCAAATGTTAGTATACCCTTGGTTTTCTAAACTGAAGTATATCCAGATGTTGAGACAATGACCAAATTGCAGAACATGAACTGTATGGTGAGCACTGTCCTATGTAGTTATAAGTTTCTGTGTGTATTGTAGAAGGAAACTTACACATCACCAGCCTCCTCCTCTGGCTGAAGGATTATTGCACATTGGGGATTCCAGTTTCCCAGCGCACTGCAGCTTCCACATATGGCAAAAACTTCTCCTAGAAACAGCAATGTGTTACAAAGCACTCAATAGAATTTAAAATATTATTGAGGTTTTGCCTATAGCTTGATCAAGTGGCTTTGTGTAAAAACATGAGAGGATTCAAAATTAACATTTTTTCACTTTTTTCTATTAAAATATGCAAATCACTATACAACTCTGCAGTACTATGAATGTATATATACTATGAATATGTACTATGAATGTATATACTGTTCTAGTCCATGCAAGGCAGATCAAGAAAATATTCTCAGTCTTTAATCCATAATTCCAATATAGTGCTCCACAACAATATACTTAAACTCTTTGGAAACAAATGCTAGTACATATAAATTGTCTGTTAGAAGAAACATCCTCAACTAAAAGTCAGATAATGTTTAAGTGCAGTTTCATGTTACACTCTCGCTAAAGTAAAGTTCTCTGCAGCAAGGAAGACTCCATGAGAAGAAGGCAAAACTAAAAATGTGTAACCTGTACCTAGAATAAAGCTTTTGCTTTGTGCACTACAATAAAATCTTAATGTTACATGACATATATATCTAGATCCACAGGGAGGAGTAAGAGATCTACTGATATCCCAAAGCTATGAACAAGATTTTGGAGTGCCTTAAAGGAATTCATGTGCACTCATACATTTACGGTCTTGTAAGTATTTATATAGGTCATAAGTGCTAAGTTAAAACAGCCAGTTGCCTGATATATAAGACATAAACAACTTGCTTGCTGCCAGCTGAGTTTGGTACATTATGTAATATTTCTGAACATGCTCTCTGGTGATGTAAATGGATAAGCAGTAGGCAGAACAGCTGCTATGAGAGCCATTAAATATCAGTTATGCTGGTAGAAATACACCACCAGGATTCTTAGAATGGAAAAAAAAACCTGCTACATGTTATAAGGGGATGGGGGTAGACATGAGAAGGAAAAACCAAGAGAAAACTCAGATATAAGCCGGGTTATTCAGCCCTTTTTTAGGCTGAAAAAGACCCCCTCGGCTTATACTCGAGTCAAAGTTATATATTATTTTACTTTATTATTATTATTATTATTATTATTATTATTATTATTATTATTACATTGATTATGTTTCTCTATTGTTATTATTACAGTTATTATTTTACTCTCTTTATTATTATTGGAAGGATACGTAAGCACACTGACATTGAAGAAGATAAGAATAATGGTTTAATCAGAGTTGGACAGATTTATCTTAAAATAATTTTATGTAAATATTTAAAAACATATAACCTACTGATGCCTCAATTAATGCAATTTTATTGGGATCTATTTCTATTTTGAAATTTACCAGTAGATGCTGCATTTCCCAACCTTGGCTTATACTCGTGTTAATACATTTTCCCAGTTCTTTGTGGTGAAATTAGGTGCCTCGGATTATATTCGGGTTGGCTTATACTTGAGTATATATGGTAGTTAAGAAGCTGATTGAGGAAGGGTTAGCAGCAAGGAAGGCTGAGAGTGGCAAATGTCTTTCCTGGAGAAGCACACAGTGCATGTTTGCAGCATGGAAATCAATCTATCTTTCTAGCTGATTTAGAAACTCCATTTTCCATGCTTCTCAGCAATGGTGGATGTTTCACATGAATCTAAACAAGTATGGATTTAAGCCTTAAAACAATCGCCACTATTTTCCTGGCCCAACTCCCATGCTTCTTAATATGTTTCTGAGAGAGAGGGATAGACAAAGAGATTTTCTGCAGATTTTCCCAGCTCTCTTGTGTCCCCCAAAGTCAAAATTAGTAAAATAATTTAAAAATCACTTCAGTCAAGATTTAAAAACAAGTTGCAGCCTATGCTGTACATATGTCTGTAGACCTCCATTTGACATGAGCTAACGGTTTCAGTATTTTGGAGGAACGACAGTTAAATTCTTATGACATTCATTTTATGTTACTGGAGAAGTTTTTTTTTCTCATATGAAATTTTCAAATAAAACAGCATTTTGTAAGATATGCATGTCTTACTCACATATACCTGCTAAAAGATCAATATGCTTCACATATGGACACTTCACTCCTCTGATTGAAAGCCATGTCTAATGAAATTGCCAATAAAAGCTCACATAAAAGCTTTAAAAATCATAGACTAAAAGTTCCATAGTTGTTTATCCTTAGCCCTTCTCCTAGGTTATATTTCAAATATGTTGAGAGTGCACAGAATTATCAGCTGTATTAGGAATTAATTCTCTGTAACCTCTGAAATAACTGAGATAAGGGGTTCAGTAATGAGGAGCCTCTTCTAAACCATGGTGCAGTAACCTTAGGAACAAACTGAAAAGTATTTTGTGCAATGGGTTGTTGTAGGTTTTTTCAGGCTATATGGCCATGTCACTACCTCTGAGGATGCTTGCCATAGATGCAGACGAAACATCAGGAGAGAATGCCTCTAGAACATGGCCATATAGCCCGAAAAAACCTACAACAACCCAGTGATTCCGGCCATGAAAGCTTTCAACAATTCATTTTGTGCAATGTTTTCTGGTTTGCATGAGGAGGCAAGAACCTGGTACAGACAGGAACATGTCAGCCATTCTTAGCTTAAATTGGAGGACATAATCACCTGCACTTTTCCAGAAAGTACATTGCCAAGCTATATTATTATACAAATCAGCTAACGAACGAAACATTTTTTCCATTTAATTTAACTAGTCAGTATGTCAGAAGCAGAGACTCAATCACAATTGGATACTTAATAGATAACTGATTAAAGTAATTAGATCTTATTTGACATTCACTGATAATAAAGCTAAGTGGCCAATTACTTTTTACTATGGATGCAAAGCAGTTGTCCAGTTCATTTTAAAAACTAGGCAAGCTGAAAATGCAACACTCATATTCTAGCCACAGTAATGGCTATCAATGCATTTTTGGGTCCAGTTTTAATTGCTGGTCTAACCTTAAAACCAAATCAGATTATGTCAAAATCCAGCTGCAATGATATGCCCGAAGACCAGCCACAGCTTATTTCTGTTGCTGGTACATAAAAGAAATAGTACATTTCTGGCACAGAATCCCTTATTTCAGGCTATCTGTCCCCCTCCCTCCTCCTTTAAAGTCTCAAAGGCTAGGGAGCTCCACCAGTGTTTTTAATTGAATGTAAGACAATTTTTATTTTATGGTTTTATTACTGTGATTGCTCATTTTTTAATAAACAATATTTTCACAATGAAACGCTAATGATATATGTTTTTATTGATCTTGCTATGGTTTTATATTATATGTTAATGTTTTAAATTGTATTTTATGGTACTGTAGGTATTGAATTGTTGCTGTCTCTAAACCACCTTGAGTCACCTGCGGGCTAAAAGGGCGGTATACAAATATAGTAAATAAATAAATTTTCTATTCCACTGTTTTGTTTTTACTCTGCTACCCACCTTTGGGAAGCATTACTCTGAAAAATATCGCAGAAATACAAAAAAAGAAATGGATGTACAGGTAGTTCCTGGGTTATGAACAAGGTAGGTTCAGTAGGATTGCTCTTAAGTTGAATTTGTATGTAAGTCGGAACAGGTACATTTTAAGTGTAACTCCAGACATTTTTTAAAAGATCTGGATATCATAGGGAATTGTTAACATCCTATTTTGTTGTCTGTGTCCTTGTTCACCTCACCTTCTGACCCCATGACAAATGGATTTTGAAAATTTCCCTTTCTAGGGGTAGATTTTTTTCTCACTTCCCGGTGTGTTACCCTTGTTTTTAACTATAAGTTGTATGTTAGTCGGGTGTTTGTAATTCAAAGACTGCATCTACATAGTATTGTAAACATAATGTTCATGATCTCCATCCCTTTGTGGATGGCAATTAGTGACTAGCCACAACTGCCTACCTGCATTAATATAAACACACATACAGCTCTTGTTTTGTGGAGATGCAATTCTGTGCAAAATGAATAAAATACCCAATGCTGAAAGGACGAGGCACTCAACAAGCACTGGGAAGCTAAGCTGGTTATGTCCCAATCATTTTGGCATACTTTTGAATTTGATGTTTTGTAACTACCATCAATGCTGATGGTGGCAGTGCTGCTGACAAAAGTCTCCCATGTCAGAAAAGCTTTTGCTGAGGAATCAAAACAAATGGTCCAAACGGCAGCAATAGTGGAGATTAGCACTGGTAAAAGATCTCTTAAGAGACAATGGCAGTGGCATTACAGCTAACACTAATTAGTACGGTGCAAAAGGAGGCACACTAAACCCGTTTTAATGTCTTCTGCAATGAAAAATGTATGATGAGACAATCCAAAATGAAATAAAAGATAATGCCAGAACATGAGACACCCAGATCAGAAGACACTCAATGGGATACTACCAAAGTACAACAGAGGGCAATTACAAGTGTCCAATGATGCAAAAGGACATTAAGAAGAGAAAGGAAAGTCCAAAGCTGTGCAACACATATTGCAGGATATGGAGTAAGACATAAATCAGGTGAAGCTAGCCATAGTAAAATAAGAAATGGAAGATATAAACGTTGCAATACTTGGGATGAGTGAGCTACATTTTATAGGAATAGGAAATTATGAGTCATATATATAATTTATATATATATATATATATATATATATATATAGCATTTTACTCAGGAAAAGAAAATCTAAGAAGAGTGGCACTTATAGTGAGGAGAGTAACACTTCATGTGCCACAACATTTGACTGTCCTGATACATAACTTATATTCAGGAGATTACCATCAGGACATAAAATGGAGAAACAGAATTGTTTCTACCTGGCAAGGGGATCAGGCAAGGCTGCATTTTATCACCCAATCAGTTTAATTTATTCGCTGAACATACTAGACATAGAGCAGCATTAGGAGGTTTAAAAAAACAATAATACTAGGAGAAAATAACAAAGATTTGGAATAATTAACAAAGAAAATGAAGGATGCAACTGCAAAGTAGATTTACAGTTAATCAGGACTTAACTCTTTCTAGTAGTCAACATTTCTAAACTGACTTTTGTACTTTGGAAATATCATGAGAACACACAATTTACTAGAAAAGAGGATAATGATTGGGAAGGTAGAAGGCAGTAAGAAAAGAGGAAGACTGCATTACAGACGTCAAAGAAACTGCAGCCTTGAGTATGCAAGACCTGAACAGGGCTGTTGATAAGAGTGACTTATATCGTTTTTAGCATTGTTGACGACTTTGAGATTCTTTGAGAAAAAATGTAATGGTTGGAGGTCTCCAACACTTATTCGAGTCAATCGGAATTCCATGAAAAACTAAACCAGGCCATCCTAATCACAGGGTTAGTCACAAGTTGTACGTTGCATTATATCATAGAATGTTTGTGAAGTAATGTTACAACAGCTGATGGAGTGTCAGGATACAGTCTTATGACAACATGGCACATTTTCTGAGAGGGAAACCAAAGTTCATCTTAGGTGAAGAGAGACTACTAGTCTGCAGCAAGATGTCAACATAAAAGATATTAGGAAGACATAAAAGGTCACAGAAAGCTATATGAAGCAGAGTAGAGGAGCAGTGTCAGTCAGAATATACAGTATATTCTGGCGTATAAGACTACTTTTTAACCCAAGAAAATCTTCTCAAAAGTCAGGGGTCGTCTTATACACGGGTGTAGTCTTATGCATGGGAGCCGTCTTAACTCTATATTTTAACTGGAAAAGTTGGGGGTCGTCTTATACTCCCAGTCGCCTTATATGCCGGAATATACGGTAGTTACTATTATCACCATCAAGTTTATCTTTATCTGAATAAGTGAGATAAGGGTGTACATCACACAGCAGCATGACTTGACCACAGAAATATGTGGCAAGTCACTACTAAAAAATCTAAGAAACAATGATGAAAAAATCCTGAAAAGACGTTTTTTCTAATTAAAAATAAATTGTCACACATTTGCTCAATAAACTGAACATTATACCTGTAAATGTTATCTAATATAGAAAATATCTACATGTAAGACAATGTAAGTCCAGCCTCCCCCTCGGTTCTTATAAGTATTAGCAGCTAAGGTAAAACAGTTTTTCCAACTTAATGCCCTCTATATGTGCTGAACTACAGTTCCCATAATTCAATGTCAGCATGCAGGTGGTCACTTGGCACTTGTAGACCCACACATCTAGAAGGCACTGGACTGGATAAAACTGATATATAGTTATTATGTGGAAGATTTCCCTTTTTAACTGGAAAACTGCAATAAAAGGAAAGTGTTCTCTACCTGGTGCTGATGCTCCTCTTATTTCAAAGGTAACTTGACAAGGTGCCATTCTGAATGATGTAAAATGGCTTTCCGTATCCTACAAAGAAAGGATGAGTTTCTTAACTTTAAGGACAACTGTAAACATTTAGTATCTTAACAGCATATGAATGTATTTCATTTAATTAGAAGTTTCTAGATACATTTTTCAACAAGTCTTCCTTGAATTTCATGCAACTGACAACACAGTCAGACAGATTAGCATTGCACCTAATAAGAACCCTTGTAATGCTTTCTCCCAACAGTGAGTACAACAGTTGTGTGTTCCTGGACCAATCAGGATTTCCTTTTGCATTTAGAAGCTTTCTGTATAGTGGTCCCTACACATTTATGGTTTTAAATATTGTTGATTTAATCAAATTTAGTTAAATATGATGTGATAAACAATTGACATTTTCAGTGGCAACAACTCTCATATAACTTACCTTTTGGGGCAAGTGAGCTTTGCCACTGAAGTACTGTAATTTAATATGAAACATCAATCAAAAATGTCCACGTTCATCTCTTTGACCTTATAATAACCACTTATTTTGCAGAATGCCCAAATAAATGGAAAAAATGTAGCTGTTGTGCATGTATTAAATCGTTTTAAAATAGAAAGATTTTGACCTCTTTTCAGAACTGTATCAATATTACCAGAGATAGCAAATTGTCATCCAGAACACTTTCTAATGAGTTTCTTAGCGATCTAGTGCCTAGCCATCACAGACTTGTGGCTAAGAAAAGGCAAATACTGCACAGCACACAATGGAATCTACAGGGAAAGGTGTGAGATGCATGTCCAAGTGCTCAGCAATTTCTTTTTAAATAAAATAAAATAATTTTTTAAATGCATCGCCAAACACTTGGACACATATCTCCACCTATCCCCCATAAACAACACATTTCATAACTTGAGATACCGTAAGAGGATGTTTTGAGCATTCCTAACAGATGAGGGGCCCCTGCTGGCGCAGCAGGTTAAACTGCTGAACTTGCTGACTGCAAGGTTAGTTGTTTGAATCCAGGAAGCAGGGTAAGCTCCTGCTGTTAGCCCCAGCTTCTGCCAACCTAGCAGTTTGAAAACATGCAAATATGAGTAGATCAATAGGTACCTCCTTGGCAGGAAGGTAAACGGCGCTCCATGCAGTCATGCTGGCCACATGACCTTGGAGGTGTCTACGGACAATGCCAGCTCTTTGGCTTAGATGAGCACCACCCCCCAGAGTCAGACACAACTAGACTTAATGGCAAGGGAAACCTTTACCTTTACTTTAACAGATGAGATCTTACATACACACTGTTAAATTGCTTACATTCTGTTGATGTTATCGGAAATGTTTTGAAAGTATGCAAAGACAAGCCTTTTGGATATCTCTTTTTTAATGAGAACAAAATTTGAACATATCTTTTCTTCTTGTCACAAAACCTCAACAGAAGATCTTTAAAAGTTGGTTTTAAGATCAACCACGTGGTTGGTTTTGTTCAAAAATAATTCTAGAAGAAAACTACAAATTGAGCTGTGATGAGGTACTGATGAAGGACTCAAAAACCAAAGAGCACAGCAGAAGTTGCACTAAAGAAAGAGTAAGAAGATGGACAAGAACAGAAAGTAGGATTCTTTGTGGAAAAGAAACAACAGACAGCAAGAAGCAGATATGGACCTGTAGATACAATGTCACATACAGTTCTTTTGATATGTTGCCTATCTTTGATTTCAGAGAAGAAATGGGTCAAGAGAAAAACATAATTATGTCCAAGCAAAAATAAAATAACACAAAAATGGCCTCTATATTAAAACCATTTCACCCTTCTGACTGAAGTTTTAGCATATCTAAGCCTTGGGCAAGTATGTGATATGTAACACTGATCTGCACCTGGTGATATTCATATCAGGTTCAATCTCAAAAAAGGCCCCACAGAATGAGATGTTACAACTGTGATGCTACCAAAAAAGAGACCCTATCCACAATAATTTTTATACACCAACCCACACAGTCCTTCAAAACATAAAATACTAAAAAGCAAAAAAAAAGCATCATATGAAGAATAGAAAGAAATATCTGCCTTACTGAAGCTCTGTGCTATTGCACTGACCAGTTTTCTGCAAAAGATTACTTAATGCATGAACACCAAGAAGCTCAGTGTTTATATGTGATAAAGGAAGGAGGAATCAAACTAATTAAAAATATCTTCTGCTTATATTTCTATTGCAAGCCTGAGTTTAAACTGAATAAATACTAAACATTTTGGAAATTGTGAACACACAAACGAGACCCTATTCACAGCTACCACCCACCTTTCCAACCCTTGCTCTTGTTTCCTCATAATGCATAAAATAGCAATGGGTACACAATTACTTCTGGCTATGGCTGCACCACTGCAAAATGATACTGAGATGAAACAATGCTGAGTGGGATCTCAGCTTAGTTACATGCAATCATAGGAGGAGGACCAGATGCATTAAACTACAGTTTCTGTTTGTCATATTTTAATTCAAGCCCAGCTTAAGAACTATGATTAAAGTAAAACTGGCATCTAGCTATAGTGTTACATAATTTCCATGAACAATGACTCAGATTGGCAAATCAAGGAGTAGAAACAGTCTGCAGTCTGCAATTTATGACAACAAACTTGAGGCAACTGGGCCTTCCATTTCTATTTCAACTAAGGCAAATAGGATAACCAAGGGGTTTTTTCCACAGCTGAGTTGCAAGGAACTCTGAAGTATGAGACAGCACTGCAGCATCCTAGACTACTCAAGTTCAGGAAGGAAATGCAGCATTGGACAGGCTGCTGCATAAATTGAATTGAAATTGAAAGTAAGTTTTTCTGATTCTTCCAGTAGAAACTGCATTCTACAACTATAAAAGGATAATGTACAACAATTATGAAGCAATATTAACACAACATCTTAGCCCCACTAGCTGAGACTAATTGTACTTTAAACTAAAGTTAATCTCAGCTAATGTTTTAGCTCCCTAAACAGTAACAAACCTTTAGCAGGAACAATATTTTGACTCAAGTCACAAACATCACGCAGACAAAGGGTCCTAACTCTTTACAATGTGAGTATTTTCAGAAGCATTGGACACTACACAGACTTCCTTTTAGGTGTTTCAGCAGACACTACAACTTTCTGTGTCAATAGTTCATAGGCCTAAACAACTGATGGATTTATTATCAATTTTTTCTCTTCATAACACAAAAAAGCAGCTCATTATTCCTTTTCCTGTTTCTGAACATGGGAAAAAAGCAGTTGAGGTCTATAACAATGCAGGCAGACAGGTTAATTTTTGGAATGGGAGACTTTAGTAGTAACTAAATTTAGTGTAGTATCCAGTGGCTAAATTTATGTGTCTATTTCCCAACAACTGCCAGTAACCTACCTATAGACATGAAGGAGTCTACTCAGCACCACAAGTAGTACATTTTCACCTGAAAAACCTCAAATGTATATCACAATCAGCTTAATCATAGTCTAGCATGTTTTGATTTTTGCAAGCATTTCAGCTCCTTGTTTTGGAGAAGCAGTGATTTTAGTGATGGTAAGACTGTTTATAACAATGTTAGCAAAATTCCTCAATCACTATTTAGTCACAAATCTTAAACTTTACATCATGTTGGACTGCTTTATTCTATATGCTGCTTTTAAACGCTAGAGCAAATTTCCAGACATCTGCTCCTTTTAAACATTAGAGCAAACTGCCAAACAACTATTTCAAATGCCTAACAGTTAACAGAACTTGGTATAACAACTAAGAAAGGCCAATATAATTCCTTCAGTATTCACCTTGAGCTATCAACAACATTTTGTACTGGCTTACAATACACTTTGTATTTCTGTCTTGGAAACAAAACACTGAAGTTATGTTCTATATTTATATTTGTGCTTGTCTTTTCACCTTACTTCAAGAGTCAAGTTACAAAAAAAGACATATTTTAATACTGCAAAGGACAATACTTAAGTCAGCAATTCCAAATTACCATAATTTGAGGGTTTAAAGTAGGGCCACATATTGACACACTATGGAAATGCAAAGTATTTCAAATACAAAGGCATCCACGACTTCCCATGTAGTGCAGTGATAGGCCATAAGGGGAGCTGCAAGGCAAGCTGTGCATGAAAGGGCATGCCCACATGTATGTATGAGAGATACTCTGAAAGTTACCATCTTCTTCCAGTCACTGATGCAGCTGGTGATGACTTTCTGGGACTACATAAACATGCCAGGCTAAGTGGACAAAACCTTTTGGTGGCACCCAATGAAGACGGCTTTCAGCCCTGCTCCCCCTGATATTTATGGCAGTGAGATTCATACTTCTGCCATTGTGCAATCTCTTTTGAAAAAAAGGGGGATTATAATGAATGATTGGATCCCCCAATTTTGAATCTGTAGCCAAGGTCTAACTGTTGCTGGGGCCACATGCTGTAGGAGTCAAGTACTGCTGCAGAAGGAGCTATGGTCAGGCACTGCAGACTACAGGTCTCTGGTCTTTCGCTATTACCAGTAAGGCTATTATAGTAAGAACTATAATGTTAAAGAGTGTTGAATATTGTAGATTGCTGGTCGTGGGTCAAGACCAAGCTTCCATGCTCCAATTTTTTTTCACAGAACTTGACTTGAGCTACAACAGCAGTGGTCACCAGAAATACGACAATGAATCCTAAATGCAATTCATGTTGAGCTGTAGATCATAAAAGCACTGGATGGAATTCAAGAATTGAGCAGCAATCCACTCATGTAGATGAAGAAAGAATAGAACAAAGAAACAGGAAATCTAAGTTAACCTTTCCAGCTGTATGTGAGCTGCACCATATGTAAACTGCACTGTGTTCCCTGAAGGAATAAGTAAAAATGCCAATCCTCTGTTTTATTTTTAGATTACAGGGTTGAAGGACACAACCATCTTTACAAAGTGCTCTAGGAAACCTTTTCAGATGATGAGTGAGTAAAAAATATTTCAAATAAATCTATTAAACAGCACCTGTATGGATATTTCTAGCAGCTGTAACTCATCATGATGTCATTTCAAAGCTTCAAAGTTTAGCAGAGTATTTTCTGTCGCACAAAGCTGTCAGGTATCAGGATGAAATCCCAAATTAGGAGGGAAGGAAAGATCTCTAGGAGTAAAATAAGGGGGTGACATTTTCTTTCATCCTCTCTCATCTTGGTACCACTCTTCTCAGTACCCCAATAAATTATGTAAAGGTTTCCCCTTGACATTACGTCTAGTTGTGTATGACTCTGGGAGTGGTCTCATCTCCATTTGTAAGCCAAAGAGCCGGAGTTGTCCATAGATCCCTCCTAGGTCATGTGGCCAGCATGACTGCATGGAGTTCCGTTACCTTTCTGCCAAAGTGGTACCTATTGATCTACTCACATTTGCATGTTTTCAAACTGCTAAGTTGGCAGAAGCTGAGGCTAACAGCAGCTCACCCTGCTCCCCGAACAGCCAACCCTTTGGTCAGCAAGTTCAGCAGCGCTGAGATTTAACCCTGGGCTAACTGGGGGGCTCTAACGAATTATCAAAATGCAAATTAACTACCACTTAGTTTCAGGCACATCCTTAACCTTTCTTACTTGCAGGTATGACAGCATATGCATCAAGGGGTTGGGTGAAGCTAATAAAGAATGCTCACTAAACCGTACAAAGAAAAAGGAGGCAATTTTGAGACACCATGCTAAGATTCCTGAAAATGGAGAACAGAAAAAAGAAGAACTAAAGCGCCACTGGCAAGACTCCTGAGGTTAAAAATGACAGAAAATGCTGATAAGATTTCAGATTAAAAGTGGGGCAAGGGACCATGGTTTGGGCTATTATATATTGCTCTAAGCACAGCTAAACTGGTCCTCCTCATCTAGTAATGAAATATTCATACAAGAGTAACAAAAATAATACAGATGCAAAACTAGATTCTGCATGCAACCCTGAAATATTAAAAATGACCTGAAACAGCTACACAGAGTATTGTCACTCAGCAAAAAAGAAAGCACCAACAATATGACCCATTGTATAAGTCTGATAAAAATGCTATTTTTCTGAACAACTTGTCTTTTTGTCCTTACATTTTAAAGAATAAACAAGGCTCAAAGTGGTCTGGAATTCATACCACAAGTACCGGCTTCATGGGTTTTAGAAGAGTCTTCCCTAGATAAACAGCTGTTCATATCAGCTGGCTACAGCAACACTTTTTATCGTAACACGCATTACATAACATGGAAAGACATTTAACACATGCCTGCCCTGTCTGCTTATCACCAATTACAAACACATATTTAAAGGGCTTCGCTAGAGTCCCTCCTCCTTTTGGCTGGCTCTTCCTCACCTTTCTGTCAAATTCTTATGTGGATTTGGCAACCTTCTCTACAAGCTCTGCAGCACGGGGGCAAACAAGGACAAGGGCCTAAATCAAAATTCATACCTTGTTTTCTCCCCCTTTCCTTTTCTGTAAAGTAGACCCCTTACAGGTGAAACAGGAACATTATAAATTATAAATTAGCCCAGCACCTGTCCCTATGACAATTTGTAAAGCTGGAAAGGGGCTACTGCATAACACAAACAAAGTGCTGAAAGAAAAGTGCGATTTCACCAACGAAGAATCAGCAAAGAGCTGTAGCTGCCTACCTTTGTTTCTAGAAAGGGGTTCTAGTGAACAGGTTGAGATTAATAGGAGTTGTTCAGCCCATTAATAAACACAACTAAAGGCATAATGGACACAATTGGATGAAGGAGACAAAAAATTCAAATCTCTGCAATCTTGGGCCTAGGTTAACTTACCACACAAAACTACGTCGAGAATCAAAACAAAATAGCTACATCGAGAATCAAAACAAAATATTTTTACCAGAGACCATGAGGACCATCAAGTCCAATCTCCTGGTATGAAGGAACACTCAATTTAAAAAATGCAACAAAAGCGTTCTGCTGAGGATGAGACCACTGGGCGACAGTAATCTGATGCCCTGAGGGGAGAGCCTAAGCTGTCAAGTTGGGAAGAACCCCAAGAAAACAACTCAGAGCTAAACGGAGTTGATTAGCAAAAAAGTGCCAGTTTGAACCAGTTATTACATTTCAAAGAAAGACATTGATAAAACTACCTCTGACAATTCCATGCCTGAGAAAACCCTGTGAAATTCATGGGATTGCCATAAATTGGTAGAAGACTTGAACACTTACACAATACCTTATAGTGAGGATTGTTGCTTCTCTCTGCTTTAAAATGGGCTTAAATACCCCCCAAAAGGTACCAGATCTCCTTTGATCTTGGAATTCCAGCAGGGTCAGTATACAGACGGGAAACTCTAAACATATTAGGTACCCTAAGATGCATTTCAGAGGAATGAACTAGGAAAACCATTGCCTAAGAAAATTGTAGGAAATTCAGGTCACTCTCTGGCCCCATCCACACAGCTGAATAAAATCCCACATTTTCAGCTTTGAACTGGAATATATGGCAGTGTGAACTCAAACACTCCAGTTCAAAGCAAATATTGTGGGGTTTTCTGCCTTGATATTATGGGATATATGGCTGTGTGGAAGGGCCCTCAGAAAGATCAATCAGATGGGAGGCTGCCACAGAAAGCCCTCTGCTGTAGACTCTATTTCAGAGGAAGGAATTGGCAAAAACACTTCTTGCCTAAGAAAACCCTATGACATGGGGCCATAGGAAGTTGACAGGTGACTTGAAGGCATAGGGCCCTTCCACACAGCCAGAATATCAAGGCAGATAATCCATAATATCTGCCTTGAATTGGGGGGCCCTCTACACAGCTGAATAAAATCCCACATTTTCTGCTTTGAACTGGAATATATGGCAGTGTGGACTCAGATAACCCAGTTCAAAGCAGATATTGTCGTATTTTCCACATTGATATTCTGGGATATAAGGCTGTGTGGAAGGATCCTGGGTTATCTTAGGGCCCTTCCACACATTCCTATATTCCAGAATATAAAGGCAGGAAATCCCACAATATCTGCTTTGAACTGGGTTATCTGAGTCCATACTTAGATATTGTGGGATTTTCTGCCGAGATGCTCCAGGTGATTTACACTGCAGAAATTACACAGGATAAACACATACATACAAATATTAAAATTAACGTGAGTCAAATGCTCCAGTAAAAAGCCAGGTCTTAAGCGCCAGGACAAAACGCCCCAAGTCGTGCATGGCTCTCAAATAGGGAGGCAAGGAATTCCACAAGGCAGGGGCAGAAATAGAGAAGGCCCTGCATCTGGTGCTTTCCAAGTGCACTTCCCTAGGACCCGGTATATAGAGCAGATTGCATTGGGATGGTCATGGCGACCTACGATGATGGTAGAAGGAGAGACGGTCTCTAAAATACAATGGACCCTGGCCATATAAAGTTTTAAAGGTCAGGACCAGATTCTTATACAAACCAACTGGGATATAGGGCTGTGTGGAAGGGCCCTGAGTCCACAGAGCCAGATATTCCAGTTCAAAGCAGATAATGTGGGATTTTCTGCCTTGATATTCTAGGCTATAGCGCTGTATGGAAGGGCCCCGAGTCTACACAGCCATATATTCCAGTTCAAAGCAGATAATGTAGGATTTTCTGCCTTGATATTCTAGGCTATAGCGCTGTATGGAAGGGCCCTGAGTCTACACAGCCATATATTCCAGTTCAAAGCAGATAATGTAGGATTTTCTGCCTTGATATTCTAGGCTATAGCGCTGTATGGAAGGGCCCCGAGTCTACACAGTCATATATTCCAGTTCAAAGCAGATAATGTGGGATTTTCTGCCTTGATATTCTGGAATATAGGGCTGTGTGGAAGGGCCCTGAGTCCACACTGAGTCCCCTTCGGGGTGAGAAGGGCGGAATATAAGTGTTTTAAATAAATAATTATAATAATAATCCCCGTTCAAAGCAGATAATGTGGAATTTTATTCAGATGTGTGGAAGGAGCCATAGAATCAGAGAACCCTTCCACACAGCCCTATATCCCAGAATACCAAGGCAGAAAATCCCATTATCTGAGTGTGGAGTCAAATAACCCAGTTCAAAGCAGACATTGTGGGTTCTTCTGCCCTGATATTCTGGGATATGGGGCTGTGCGGAAGGGCTCAGAGTCGGAGGAAACCTTACAGGCCGTCCAGTCCAACCCCTTGCCATGCAGGAAAAGCACAATCAAAGCACCCCGGAGAGATGGTCACCCAGTCTCTATTTAAAAGCCTCCAAGGGAGGAGCTTCCACATCTCTGAAGCAGTGAGTCAGGCTGTTGACCAGCTTTGCCATTTCCTTCCCCTGAAACAGAGCCGGCAGCAGCTGGGATTCATGGGTTCTGGCCTTCTTGGCGTCCACAGGGTGGAGTGCTTTGTGTCCGTCTGCGGCCTTCGTACGGCTAACAAAGGGAGCCCCCCCTCCTTCTCCCTCCCTCCCTCCCTCCCTCCCTCCCGACGGGCTGCCTCACCTGGCGGCTGTGAGGGCTCCTCAAGAGGGATGGTTGATTTATGATGGCGGCGGTGGCGGCAGGAGAAGAGCCTGGCTCCTCTTCCCCTCCCTGAGGGAAACACTCACTTCCTTTCTGCAGAGAAGTGAGGCGGCGGGCGCTTGCTGACGACGAAGCCTCTCCCCGACCCAAACCGGTTACAGCCAGCCGGCCGAAGCCGCCACCGATGCTGCTGCTGCCGCCGGGCGGGGAGGGAGGGGATTAAAAAAGGATACCCAATGGGTACCAGAGGGCACGTGACGGGCGCGGCCAATAAGAGGGCCAGGAAGCCGCGAGGGGAATCAAGCGGGGAGGGGGAAGAGGAGGAGGAGGGCGTGGCGTTTCCTAGAAAGCTTGGCCTTGGCAGAGCGGAAGGGGGCGTGGCTTGGAGCCAGGAGGGAGGGGGGAGGGAATCCGAGGGGGTAACACTTGGGCCCTTTCCTTCCACACCACTGTATAAAATCCACATTGAACTGGATTATATGGCAGTGTGGGCTCGGATAGCCCAGTTCAAAGCAGGTATTGTGGATTAATAATACAATACAATGCAATAATGCAACATAATACTAATATATTATAGTTATATATTTTATATTATACTAGCCCAGTTCAAAGCAGGTATTGTGGATTAATGATACAATATAATACCATACAATAATGCAATATAATACTAATACTACTACTAATAATATATTATAATTATATATTTTATATTATACTATCCCAGTTCAAAGCAGGTATTGTGGATTAATAATACAATACAATAATGCAACATAACAAGCTGGAATGTATCCAGAGGAGGGCGACTAAAATGATCAAGGGTCTGGAGAACAAGCCCTATGAGGAGCGGCTTAAGGAGCTGGGCATGTTTAGCCTGAAGAAGAGAAGGCTGAGAGGAGATATGATAGCCGTGTATAAATATTTGAGAGGAAGCCAAAGGGAGGAGGGAGCAGGCTTGTTTTCTGCTTCCCTGGAGACTAGGACGAGAAACAATGGCTTCAAACTACAAGAAAGGAGATTCCATCTGAACATGAGGAAGAACTTCCTGACTGTGAGAGCCGTTCAGCAGTGGAACTCTCTGCCCCGGAGTGTGGTGGAGGCTCCTTCTTTGGAAGGTTTTAAACAGAGGCTGGATGGCCATCTGTCAGGGGTGATTTGAATGCAATATTCCTGCTTCTTGGCAGGGGGTTGGACTGGATGGCCCATGAGGTCTCTTCCAACTCTAGGATTCTATGATTCTATGATACTAATACTAATATATTATAATTATATATTTTATATTATAGTAGCCCAGTTCAAAGCAGGTATTGTGGACTAATAATACAATATAATACAATACAATAATGCAATCTAATACTAATACTAATAATAATATATTATAATTATATATTTTATATTATATTAGCCCAGTTCAAAGCAGGTATTGTGGATTAATAATACAATATACTACAATGCAATAATGCAATATAATACTAATAATAATATATTATAATTATATATTTTATATTATAATAGCCATCCCCTGCACCGCGTTACTGTGGCCCAGTCTGTGTATATGTGCATGTATATATTTGTGGTTTTGCGCATACATGCTGTGGCCCAATCTGTTTATATGTGTTTTGTGTGTATGTGTATATGTGTGTGTTTGTGTATTTATGTGGTTTTGCTCATGCGTTGTAATGCATTTTTTGTTTTTTTGCTTTTAAAGTCCCTTCTGCTGTGTTTTTAATTGTTTTTATGAGTGATGGTCACTTGTTGGCCTGAGAGGTGTATTGTGCCCAAATTTGGTGTCAATTTGTCCAGTGGTTTTTGAGTTACGTTAATCCCACAAATGAACATTACATTGTAAGGTCGAAGGCTTTCATGGCTGGAATCACTGGGTTGTTGTAGGTTTTTTCGGGCTATATGGCCATGTTCTAGAGGCATTTTCTCCTGACGTTTCACCTGCACTTATGGCAAGCATCCTCAGAGGTAGTGAGGTCTGTTGGAACTAGGAAAATGGGTTTATTTATCTGTGGAATGACCAGGGTGGGACAAAGAACTCATGTCTGTTGGAGCCAGGTGTGAATGTTTCAACTGACCACCTTGATTAGCATTTGATGGCTTGGCAGTTGTTTTTATTTTTATTTATGTAGATGTAATATTACTAATAATATTACAGTACAATGGTATAGTACAATACAGTAATATAGTACAATATAGTAATATATATATTGAGCCGCTCTGAGTCCCCTTCGGGATGAGAAAGGCGACATATAAATATCATAAATAAATAAATATACTCCCTTGATATTCTGGGTTTTATGACTGTGTATCCCAGAATATCAAGGCAGAAAATCCCACAATATCTGCTTTGAACTGGGTTACTTGAATCCACACTCCGATAATGTGGGATTTTCTGCCTTGATATTCTGGGATATAGGACTGTGTGGAAGGGCCCTTAGCCGCACTAGCTCCTATGGGTGCCTAGATTTTGTAGTTTGGTGAGGGACCTTGCATTTGGCATTGAAGGCGAAAGGCCTCGTGGAACTACAGTTCCCAGGATCCCATCATGTTAACTGGTGCTCCTTACAGAGAGAGGTCAACCCTCCTGTTCAAGGAGCTCCATTGGCTGCCATTTACCTACCGAACCCAATTCAAGGTGCAGGTGCTAACCCACAAAGCCCTAAACGGTTTGGGACCTGCCTACCTCCGTGACCGCGTCTCCGTTTATGAACCTGCATGCTCCCTTCGGTCATCTGGAGAAGCCCTGCTTGCAATCCCACCTGCGTCGCAGGCGCGTTTGGTGGGGACGAGGGATAGGGCCTTTTCTGTGGTTGCCCCCCGACTTTGGAACGACCTCCCTAAAGACATTAGACTAGCACCCACGTTGGCAGTTTTTAGGAAGAATTTGAAGACCTGGCTATTCCGTCGTGCCTTTCCAGAATAGGATAACCCAGCACTTTGTCCGAGAAGCACTTTACTAGAGTTTAAGACTCTCTGCACATGGCACTTGCCCAGATTTCCAATACACCTCCTGTCACACCCATCATTGGCCCGGCCATGGTTTTTATTGTCTAATAGTGTAATGTTTTGCTATTGCTTATGTTTTTAATTTGCTTTGTTTTGTATTGTTTTGTGTTGTTATTGCTGTTGTGTTGAGGCCTTGGCCTTTGTAAGCCGCATCGAGTCCTTCGGGAGATGCTAGCGGGGTACAAATAAAGTTTAATAATAATAATAATAATCAGCACTGAGCCATGGCAGTTGAAGCAGTGCCAGGCTGCATTCAGTCTACAGGCATGGGCAAACTTAGGTCCTCCAGGTGTTTTGGACTTCAACTCCCATAATTTCGAATATTTGCATGTTTTCAGACTACTAGGTTAGCAGAAGCTGGGGCTAACAGTGGGAGCTCACAGTGCTCCTCATATTCGAACCCACGACCTTTCGATCAACAAGTTCAGCAGCTCAGCGGTTTAACCATCTACGTCAGGCTAGGCGACTGGCTCCCTACCTATCTAGGAACGACCTGGCTATGGTGATCCAGGCGACGGTCATCTTGAGGCTTGACTACTGTAACGCCCTCTACATTGGCCTTCCTTTGTCAGTGATCCGGAAACTGAAGCTGGTGCAAAATGCGGCGGCTCGTCTTCTCACCGGGGTGCCGGTGAGGTGTCGTATCACCCCAATTCTACAATGGCTGCACTGGCTACCGATTGAGTACCGGATTACTTTCAAGGTGCTGGTACTAACCTTTAAGGCCTTATATGGTCTGGGGCCAGCGTACCTGAGGGCCCGCTTATCCCCCTACCAACCCCAGAGATTACTTCGGTCCGAAGACCATAATTTGCTTGAAGTCCCCAACATCCGGACTTATCATCTGTCCTCTCCTAGGCAGAGAGCCTTCTCGATTGTAGCCCCTTATTTATGGAATGCCTTGCCAGTTGAAACCCGAACCATCCGAGGCCTACTTGCTTTTCGGAAAGCCTGTAAAACCTTTCTCTTCTGACAAGCTTTCGATGGGTGAATAACTCGGGACTATGTCTGTTCTTGTTTTTATTGTATTTTAAAGTTAATTGTATTGTTTTAATCTACTGCTATAAACCACTCCGAGCCAAATTGGGAGTAGCGGTATACAAACAAACAAATAAATAAATAAACCCACTGCGCCACCGGGTGCCTATAAAACAATAATTTAAGCCCAAAACAGCGCCCAATAACCTATGGTGAGAACTGTCGTAAAACATGGCCAACTGTAAACCGGGAATAGGAGAGTGCAAGTTGTTGCTCATGAACTAGGGCATGGGATGAAAGTGCAGTGCTGTGTCATTAATTGTGGACTATTCGGGCTAGACCTTCTCAAAGTCTTATCCAAACATGAAGTATTTGATTTCTTCCAGAAGGAGGACAGTATGTGGGCCTTCCTAATCTCCCTAGGGAGGGCCTTCCAAAGCCAGGAGGCCACCACCAAAAAGGTCCTCTCCCTCTTCTCCACCAACCATGCTTGTGATGGGACCGTGAGAAGGGCCTTCCCGGCAGATCTTAATGCTCGCACAGATAGCACCATGGATTCACGGGTGTTTAGTTTCTTAAAAAGAAGCAATACTTCTTACCTTCACGGGAGCGAGAGACGGGACACTAGTGGTGGAGAAGGCCAAAGTGCCCCTGCGGCTGTGCCAGGGCCCCATGGCTTTGGCCTGGGCCAGACGGCTGTTTACCGGTCTGGCTGAGCTAAGCACTGAGCTAAGCCCCGCCCCTGCTTCCGCTGACTCCCAGTGGGGCCATAGAGTTAGTGATGGCTAGACTCATGCAGACACACACAGGTGACTTCAGGGCCTCCTCACACTCCCTCCTCACCCCACAGAAAAGGTGGCATTACAAAGCCCCATTGAAACAAAAACAATATACACAAACACACAAAACAGTACAGGCAGTCCCTAAGTTACTTTTCTGAAGTGTATCTCGATCCATATGTGTGTGTGTGTGTGTGTGTGTATGTATATAAATATAAATATAAATGTAATGTTCGTTTGTGGTATTCACAGAACTCTAAAACCACTGGGGCAATTGACACCAAATTTGGACACAAGTCACCTAACAACCCAATTTATGTCCTTCACTCAAAAAAAAAATGATTTTGTCAGTTGTCATTGCTGGGATTTATAATTCACCTACAATCAAAGAGCATTCTGAACTCCACCAACTATGGAATTGAACCAAACTTGGCACACAGTTCTCCCATGACCAACAGA